TTGCACACTACAGGCACCCGGGGGGTTCCCTCCCGCCATCACCGAGATGGGGCGCCTGGTACTGCCACCCCAGGAGGACATTTTAAATGGTAGTGCTCCAAAGCAGAGCCCTTGGGAATTCATGGTGCAATAGAGCATGATCTTACCAAGAAAAGCAACTTGCTCACTGAAATGACCAAATGCCTATTTCAAGTTCTGCTTTGATATTTGAGGGGTAGAAGAGGAGATAAGCCTTCCTTTTGGCAGATTATATAATAATAATGTTATTGCTGATTGAGTGCTCGCTAATATTCCAGGTACTTTACATATATAACCTTTTCCCTTTTTCTTTTGTGATTTAACATGAACATGTTCAAATATGCAGAAAATAAATAGAAGTATAAAATGAGTATCCACATATAAATCACTCAGTTTAACATTTAACACTTCCCATATCTTCATTTTCCTGAATTATTTTAATATTGATATCAAACATTTTACTGCTAAACATGCCAGTATGTATATCTAAAAGAAGACATTTTTTCTACAAAACACAGTATCACTATCATACCTAATTTTTTAAAAATCGTCTAATATCTAACAGTCTATATTCAAATTTCTCATTATACCCAGAATATCTTTTATATATGGTTTATTAAATCAGAACCAAGGGTGAGCTGCTGTATTTGGTTATTACGTCTCTCATGTTTCTTTTCATCTAGAACAGCCTGTCCTCAGTCCTGGTTTTTGTTTGTTTGTTTGTTGTTGTTGTTGTTGTTTAAATACTAACCTAAGAGAATAAGCTATTTGTTCTGCAGGATGTCCCATCATTTGTTTTGGACTTTTCTGATTGTTTCCTCTTGGTCTTATATTTTTCTTCTATCCTCCTACTTGATTATGTTCAGGTTAAGAATTTTTGGAAACAATACAGATGATACTGGTGCTTCATATTGTGTCACATCAGGAGACACACAATATCCGGTTGGTCCACTTTTAGTGATGATAACATTCATCTAGGTTAAGGTAGGAGGGTCCAGATTTCTCTACTGTCATATTTCTCCCCTGACCACCAGCAGGTAATCCCTGGGGAATAATTTTGCAGCGCATGAATATCCTATTCCCTATCTCTTTCACCAAATAGTTTCATTGATGAATCTTGGCATGAATCAGTCATTTCATTAGGGTCTGAAAAATGGTGATTTTCTATCTTTCATTTTAAATTATTTAGCTGGTATAATTTTGTAAAGAGAACTGTTTCCTCATCAACTGGGGCTATTTGGTTACCCTGAAATGCAGCTGCAACTAAACAAGCAGGATAAATGTTTATTTTCTTAAATTTCCACTTTTCAGAGTAAAGGGTTGGTGTAATGCCAAGCCTAGTACCAATAGCATGGTAAATGAGGTGTCTAAAAATTATTGGTTTTTAGATTTGGCTTGGTCTTTTAGGGGAATGACTTTAATGTCTGACATTTTCAATCAATTTCAGTCATTATTTTTGACGCTCAAATTGTTCTAATTTTGACCAGTAGGCATACCTTCAAGCTGGCTCCCACGCCGTTTTGAAAGGACCTCGTTTTTCTTGGATACTTCCTTACTTTCTATCACAAGAAGTTCCAATCACTTTTATTCATTCCCAGCTCTCGACCTGGCCTCAGCCATTTCTCCAAGGAGCCCTGGTACCTTTTAGTGGAGAGTGACATTTAGAGATCAAAATCTGGGTGCGAAGGATAGTCATTGTTTCTAGGCTCTGAGTTCATATTATTTTCATTTCGAAGTTAACAATATAGAGTTTTATTTCATTGTTTTTATACTTATTTTGCTTTGGGGTTTTTTTTTTTTTTTTTTGCATTTAAAGACATTAACAAACTACTCTTTTAATACTTACATAAACCTTGTTAGAGGGTTTTATTTTATTTCTCCTTGTCTATTTTAAAAAGAGAAAACAGGCGAGAGGTACCCAAGGTTACCTGGCCAGTAAACGGTATGAATCCAGTCGGCTACTTCCCTCAGGGAAGGGAGCCCCAAACATTCAGCATCCCGATCGACTCTTCCAAACCCAGAGGGCAAAACTGGGGCGAGCTGCCGGCTGCGAAAACCATGGGGGGCGGGGGGGGCGTAGAAGCCAGGGCCGCTGTTTGGCCTCAGATCTTCCCAGAGCTCCCTAAAGAACACACCCGGCAAGGAACCCACAAGCTCACCACCTGAAAATAAGAATCTGGCGTGACCCGCGCGCCGCCCCGCAACCCCCAAACCGAGCCGACTTGACCTGACCTGCACCCGCGAAGCGCCCGCCCATCCGCCAATCAGATGGAGCCTTGAGCGCGGGGGCGGGACAACAGGTTAGCGTACCCAATGAGAAATCGGCTCCCGGACTGAGCCTCTCTGAGTCCAAGTAGAGGGGAGACCGGCAGCCAATCAGAAGAGCGCTCGCTCCCTACTCGCCCGACCCACACTCTCCTCTTCCCACCCTGACTTCCGAGGCCGTGGCCTGGCGGCCACTGACCTGCAGTCACCCGCCGCCGCGCTTTGCTCGCCATACTCTCTCCATACCCCTGCTGCCAGCGCTGGGGCTGTGCAGGCTTCTGGTGGGACATGGCGAACTCGAGCTGCGAGGACCTGCGGGGTCAGGAGGAGGACAGTTTTCTGTACTTCGCCTATGGCAGCAACCTGCTGACGGAGCGGATTCACCTCCGAAACCCCTCGGCCGCGGTCTGCTGCGTGGCCCGCCTGCAGGTTAGTGCTCCCCGCCCCTCAGCAGACGAGGGGCCAGGATTCCTAGTTTTCGAACGGGGCTGGGAATTCAGCTCTTCCTGATAAGGAGTACATTTTATCTTCACGTTTTGACTGCTGCCCTCCTAAGTACGGCCACCTGGCCCTATGCTTGACCCCTACTGAGCTGTGCCACCCCAGCAACGATGCGCCCCAGACTGCCGTGAGCTCCCCCTCCTAACGTTTCCGCAAGCTGCTCGTTCTGCCCAGCCAGATCTTGTCCACTAACGCAGGGGCATCCTCACAGAATCCATTCAGTTGGTACCGCTGAGAGGCCTTCTCTGACCCAAGTCATGGGATCGGTCGCTTTCTGTTCTGTACAAGTCCTTTGCTACAGGACTTGTCACTAGTATTGTAAAAATCTGGTTACCTATATTTTGCTCCCGATCTGAGAAGGGCTGAATGCTGGAACTCTAATTCCTACTAAGGATTGTGCTCAGTTAAGTGGCTGGATGAAATGCAACCCTCTTGGGTAAAAAAAAAAAAATCATTGTTCTTCAGTACAGTCCATTCATTCATTTAGTACATATTCTTTCAGTACTTTCCTGGAGACACAAAGATGACTGAATAAAGCTGCTGCTTTGCGGACCTCCCAGGCTATAGGAGAGACACGCGAACAAATTATGTACAAAACCTTTGACTCGTTGAACTAGACAAACATGGTCTCTGCTGCCATCACCAGGGTTCTTAGCTGCAAGCAACAGAAAGTAGCTGACTTAAGCAGAAAAAAAAATGTGTTGAAAGGCTGTTGGAGAGCTCACAGAATGACCAGGATATAGGACCACGAAGCTGATAAAACAGGCAGGCATAAAGGGAGGCACAGCAACCGAAATACAGCCAGCGGTAAAGATAGAACCAGCCCAGGCCATTGCTGCACCACTGCTGGACTTGGTAAACATGGACACTGCCTCAGGCATCACCGACACCACTTGCTCTGGACCCTACCTGTCACGGTCACTACACCTCTGCAGTTACTGAAACCCAGATGTGGCTGCCACCATCAGTGTGGAGTTTCTGCTGTCTGTGTGCAGTAGCTTCTAATTCAAAGCCCCAAGGATGTCCTGATTGGCTAAATCTTGGCCACGTGCCCATGCCCTGACTGCAAGCAAAGCTGTGAGAACCAACTTCTGGCATTCAGAGTTTTAAAAACAGGAATCAGGCTCAGGCACTCTCCACCCCCCAGACTCATAAGGTAGAGAATTCCCTAAATATGGGAAAGAAGTTTAGACACTTAGAGTGGAGACGAGGGGAAGAGCTATCAAAACAAATGATTATTCAGTTTCGGGTATGGTTAGTCTTAAAAGAGAGACATGCTGTACCTTCCTCTCGATTTTGTTGTGAATTTAAAACTATTCTAAAAAAGGTGGTCTTTTTTTTTTTTTTTTTAAGAAGATATACGAGGTGTTATGGGAGTTGTGTGACGTGGGGACCTGACCTGACCTGCATGCTCTGTAAAGCTCTCTGAAAACGTGACTTTAAAGCCGAGACTGGAGTGGTTGGGGGAGGGAAGAAGCAAACAAAACAGAAGAAACAGCTTGTACAACAGACCTCAGGAAAGAAGAAGCTGGATCATCCAGCTCCTGACGCTGGAGCTGAGTGAGTGAGGAGGATAAAGCGAGACTAGAGAGGTAGGGAAGGGCCACATGTTACAGGACAAGAGAAGCCAAAGGAGACTTTGGTCTTTATCTAGAGAGTAATGAGAAGACCCATTGCAGGATTTAAGCAAAGGAAAGATCAGATTTGCATCTTTGAAAGCTCATGTGATTGCTATGGAAAACGGATTGGAAGTGGGGGCAAAGTGGATGTGGGGAGTCCAGTTAGAAAGCTTTCGTAGCAATCTGTACTAAAGATAATGGCACCCCGATTGGTAACAGTAGAGGGTAGGTGGGTTTGGGAGATATTTAGGAGGTAACAGTGTTATCTCCTTGGTGACTGATTGTGAAGGGAGGAGATAATAAAGATGACTCAGGTTTTCGGTGCAAAAACAGGGTGGATGATGGTGATTCATTTTGTAAAGAGGAGAATCAGGTCTGGGAAGGAAGATCAAGCTGGGTTTGAACATACCGAGTTTGAGATACTTGTTTTACATCCAAGTGAGCAAAAAATAAAAGTTTGTGAACATTTATTAAGTACTGTCTATATGCTAGGCCCTGTTCTAAGCACTTTTAAAGTTCTCAAGAGAGATCTGGTGGGATTAAAAGATGACCGGAATATTGGATGATATTTGAAGCCTTTGGAGGGGACGAGATTGTCTTCAGCAAACTGCTGAATGAGCAGAGAAAAGGACCTAAACCGAGCTCTTAGAAACTCCAACATTTAAAGGCCAGGTCGTAGAGGAGTTGAGAAGGGGAATAGAGGAGATCAAGGAACAGTCCGAAAGTCAGGAAGGCGGCAGATCAAGACAGGGTGGTTAACTGTGTCAGAAGCGGCTGAGAAGTAGAGCAAGACGAAGAATGAAAATCGTCTATTGGATTTAGCAATTAACAGCTAACTCCTAGTGTTGTTGCAACTTTTACCAGATCCTTTGTCATCCTGCCAGGGATGCTTGGTCCTAGAACATCCAATATACCAGTTGAAGGTACTGGTCACTCAGACTAACCTTTTTCCTAAACTGTCTGAGACAAAGTTTTTTAAGAAACTAAAGGTGATGGGAATAAATATAAACCTGAGTTTTATCATCTAGTCCAACCGTTTTAAATTTTATTATTAAGGAAACTGAGCTTTGCCAAGATGGAAAGAAATCTTCCTAAACAGCCAAGTAAGGTTTTTAAGTCTTCCCCAGGACTCTGTCCTCTGCTTATCCATCTCTGTGAGGGAAGAAACTAAACTGGAAACCTGGCTCCATTACTTATCAGTTGTGAGGTTTTAGGCAAGTTGCTTAATTTCTGTAAGCCACAATTTTTCTTGCCATTAAATGAGTATAATAAAGTTGTTGGCAGGATAAAGATGATAGTCCGTGGAAAGCTCGTACAGTGTGTAGAACCCGGTGCCTTTTCCAGTATTAGCTGCACTTATGATGATGATAGATATATTTGCACAATTTATGAATGTTAGATTAATAAGTTTACAAATCACATTCAAATGCCAGTTCCCTTTGCGCAGTCATAATGATAAATGCTAGTAGGATACTGTCTACATAAAAATGGAATTTTATAACCCCTGCGTAGCCTTCACCCAGTCTCAAGAGTCATGTACACTATTATTGTCTCCAAATTAAAATCTACATGTAAGTAGACTGGGGAGTAATTTTCAAAGATGAAAATGGTTGTGTTAAGCTTTGGGATTATGTGATTCCCCACCTACCCCCCCTTTTACACTCTTCACTTATGGTAAAATATATATACATAGTATACATTTCATTTTTAAAGAAAAATATGAAAAAATATAGTCTTTGAGAAGAGGGTCATTGTTTAGAAAAATATGAAAAAATATAGTCTTTGAGAAGAGGGTCAAAATACAAAAATCTTTGTATTTTCCACAGCATCTTACATGTAGAAGGAACTCAGAGTTTATGTTTTAATTGCTTAAAGTTCAAGATAAATCTTTTTTTTGAGGAGGGAAATTTTAATTCAGGAGGCTATTGATCATATCACTTTCGTTTTCTTTGTAGGATTTTAAGCTTGACTTTGGCAATTACCGAGGCAAAACAAGTGAAATTTGGCACGGAGGTATAGCCACCATTTTTCAAAGTCCTGGCGATGAAGTATGGGGAGTAGTATGGAAAATGAACAAAAGCAATTTAAGTTCTCTGGATAAGTAGGTGGCTTCTAATTTTAAGTTAAATAACTACTAATTTCGAAAGTGGATCATATGCAAGGATGTGTATATATGTGTTGGGTTTTCAAAACCATATGCTTATAGACATAGTCTTTACACTTTAGAGTTAACATAAAAGGTATAATGTGCATTTCCTAAAAAGAAAAATCTAGAAGGGTTACACTTTCCGATTGAGATTTGGGGGTGACATGTGTAATCTCGTCTGTAAAAGATGAAGGTCCTTATTTTCATTCTATTTGTCTTTTATAAAAATCTTTGTAGTTTCATATTATGAAAAGGCATGAATTGTTGCAAACTTTTATTGATTTTGAGAGCAATCGTTCAGTTTTATTATAGCCAGTTTTTAAAAACTAATTTACAGTGGCCGTTGAATCAGTGAAAGAGTAATAATAATTTGCAAAAACTTTAACAACATATTGAGAATGCCTTGATACTTTTTATACCTAGAATTCCCAAGAGTTGTGTGACAGTGCATTTAATGAAAAAAAAATAAAAATTAACAGAGGAGTAGGACTTGAGAAGAGCAGATTATCTGACATGCTTGATGTTTTACCTCATTTGTGAATGAGAATAAACTATCTCTCTACTCTTCTCTGTGTAGATAGTCTCTTGCTGTCAGAACATTTAGTCCATTTTTTGTAGCCTAGAGAGCAATGTTTCAGGGGTATACCAAGTAACTACATTGAAGCAGGCTTTCTAATTGAAATGCTAAGTTTACTTTTGATGTAGTAATAGTATAATTTGTTCTACTATATCCCAAAATAAGTAGGGAGCAATACTTGCATATATAGTTAAAATTTTAATCCAGTAAACTAACTTGGCTAAGTCAAGTATGGTTAAAATTTGGCTGTTCTTGTTTCAGGCAAGAAGGGGTTAATAGTGGAATGTATGTCCCAATAGAAATTAATGTTTACACTCAAAAAGGAAAAGAAATAACCTGTCGAAGTTATCAGATGAAAAATTATGAGAGTGCACCCCCTTCACCTCAGTATAAAAAGGTAAGCTACTTACAGAAATGTTTGGTGATTCCTTTTTTCATTGAGCTGAAATAAAGACTATCTTGGTTTTTAAAGGCTTTGCGTGTTTTAAATTCTACACGAACAATTCATTTTAATTAAAAAAAAAGTTATTTACCTAAAACGAAAAACGAAAATGTTCACATTTATTTGTAATGATAGAACTATATTCCTAAAACTTAGTTTATTAAAAAAAACTTTTAGAAATGTGAGTCATAATTCTAGACATGTATTTTCTTTCTTCAAGTAGAAAATAACACGTCTAATAGATTTTTAGGAGACTCACTCTATGTACATGCTTTCGGAGTCTTTTCTCTCCACAACATATGAACACTAAGATTCATTTTAATGGGGAAAAAAATATATTTTCTACTGCTGAAATATTTTCCATCCCCAAAGGGAAAAAATGTCTTCCTGCCTTTCATAATCAGGGAAACCATGCCTCCTAGCACAGAATAGAGACCCCAGCATCTCTTTACAGAAGCCCAAACTCAGGTATTGTTGGCAGGCCCGATAAGGATATGGCACTGAAGTGGATGACCCAGTTCCCCTGCCAGCAGCTAATCTGGAGTTTTCTAGTGTGGCGCCTCGATGGGTTAACCTGGTGTGGACCTGGGAAGGAGCGCTGGACACAGTTGTCCTTTCTTCCCTCATATTTAATTCAGGGGTAGAGTACACTCTGGGATTCAACTAAAATTGCTCCCTGTAAGCTTTACATTTTTCTGAAGAATGATATTTTTTTTCTTAAGAGATCGTGCAAAGTCTATACAATAAGCTTTTGTCTTAATATAAAAATATTTTACACTATTGAGTAAAACTGATATTCCATGAGGTTGTATCATGTGGCTTTGAAAACTCCGCACACATTCATACTCAATGTGAGAGGAATGACTATAGCTCCCTTTTGTTCTATAACTGTTTATTCTAGAATTATCTGAAAGCTAATAGTTCATACGTGGATACTGCAAATAAAGCTGCAATATTCTAAGTTAAATTTTGTTCCCAACTAAAAGAGGTCTTTTTCTTTATTTTAACCATTTGTAGGTCATTTGCCTGGGTGCAAAAGAGAATGGCTTGCCACCAGAATATCAAAAGAAGTTAAATGCAATAGAACCAAATGACTACAAAGGAAGGGTCTCAGAAGAAATTGAAGACATTATCAAAAAGGGGGAAGCAAAAACTCATTAGAACATAATAGAATGTATCCACGGATATTTTCTCTCTGTGCTAATATATTTTTAATGTGTAGAACAGGGACCCGGGATATCTCTACTTTTAACATATTTTCAACAGTGCTCTGAAGGGATATCTCATTTGAACGATTCCATTTTTTTGGACTATAAAGAGAAACTAGGTTAAGAGTTAGACAATTGCAGAGGGGGGCGTGAGATACTGGAATGTATGATAAATGGATATGGGTACTTCTTCTGTGAACACTTAAAGTTATTTTCTTGTCGATCCGAAGCGTATTCTTGCTCCGTGATCAAGGGTAGATCTGCAACTTAATGATGGTGCTGTTGAATCACTCTGCTTTGGAATTTTTTTATCAGCTTAGTAAGAGCAGGCAAACTGCAGAGATAGTTGGTAATATATGTTTTTAAATGTAAAAGCTGGCATCCTATTCTTAGAGGAATAAATGTAATTGTGGTTTAACCTGTATTCTCTCCTAAAAGTACCACGTTTCATTTTGTCAGATCATCACTTATAGTGGGCCTGGCCTTGGCCGTAGACAGCCCACACAAGAGGATTATTGCACAGACTCTGGAACCAGACAGCCTCGGATCAATGGTCGGTTCCACTACTGTCAAGCTGGGAAACTTTGGGTTACTTGACTCCGTGCCTCAGTTTCCTCACCTCTAGAGTTAGAACAGCCAAAACACCGATGTCTTAGGATTGTTCTGAGGAGTAAATGTATGTAACGAGCTTATAATAAGTTATCAGCAATCATTATTGTTCTTACTGAAGAATCAAGTTTGTAAGGGCCATCTTTAGAACTGGATTTTAAAGTAGGAGTCAGGATGATCAGGGAAGAATATTTTCTGGAAGCTACAGTTTGATTCTTGGCTTTCCAAGAATTGGTCACCTTCTTAAATTTATTTACTGATTAATGGAGGAAAGAAGAGTCGTGAATAAAACAATACTGGTTATCAAAACATCTCTTATGTCTCTATGGGATGCAGTGAGCTGGATCTTCAAAGCAGGTTATTGAAATGAGAGAGAACTAGCTGCAGGAGCATAAAATAAAGATTTGGTTTGTTCTTTTGGGGAAAATGTCCAAAGGACTTTTCAGCTACAGCTGCAGTTCTGTAGTGACGCTGAGCCATAGACGACAGGTTAGACCACGTTTTATAGCTCTTACACTTCACTATTTTCAAATATACCCTCTAATATTCTAGTTTTCTCCAGTTGTTAACTCTTCTGAAGATCAAGTTTGTCAGTACACCAGAACCCAGTTATGGTAATATGGTGAGCAAGGCTCAGTTTTGTTGTAGATACTAAAAATTGAATATTATTCTAATAATCTATCTCACCCAAAATGACAGTTTTCATTAAGGAAGTTAAAACACTAGCAATAAAATCGTCATGTCTGGCTGTTTAACAAAAACCTGGTAATCATGAGGAATAGTTTTCTCAGTTGTTTTCAAGGTGATACTTACCACCGAATGTCATACGTAAGGGATTTCCGTTTCTCCCAGTGATTTTAGCTCTCTAACCACAATACAAACCAGTTCCTAGATAAAGTATAACAGCATTTCTGGGCTTACAAGAAGATAAGGAAAATCTTCAAAATATACTAGTCCCTCTCCCACAAAAAGATGAAGAGAGCTATGAGCCGAAAGGATAGTACCGGTAAACAAATGACCCAGATGTCCTTGGGTGCAAATGCCAATATCAGCCCTGGAATTTGACTGATGGCCCTTGAGAACTGCTGCAGGACAAGAAGACTGAACCTGAAGATTCTGTATGAAACTAGGACCCTTGAAGAGAACTAAAATGGTCCTCAGGTAGTATGCCTCGTGGCTCCCAGCAGAGACAGATGCAAATACTCTGAAGAAAGCAATCCTAACTTCGGTCCTCAGGGTGTACACTTAACATTTAAAAGATAATAAGGAAAATGATACATCATGAGTGGGAACAGAAAAAACAATTTAGATCCCCAAGGTTTTGAGATACTGAAATGATCAAAAACAATACAAAAAGTATATATGGTGACTTTGACTTCTGAGAAGATGGAGTAGACATACTTTTCCCTATTCCTTTACTTAAATACAACTAAAATCCCTGTACATTCTATATAAAACAAACAGAAGACTCTGAAACCTGGTGAAAGAGTAGCCAGAGACCTCAGGACCCAAAGCATGACAGGGTACTGAATTTCTTGGGTTTTCTTTTGCCTCACACATCTCAGACTTGTAGCTGGAGAAGCCAGCAACCCAAAAGCACTCATGAACACAAAATACAATGATAAAGTTTTAAAAGCCTGCTCTCTCTAGCAAGAGAAATAGGAAATAGATGATCTAGCAAGACAGAAAACCTTAGAGAATGGATGCTCTACTCTAGCCAAACACCACAGAGAAAAATTGTGGACCCCCCACCTTTGGACAGCCAAAGTCAAGAGGGGAGCCTAAACTTCTACCCTCTCCAGGCTATAATAAGGCACCCTAACCTGGTCTCCTAACACCGCTATCAGAGTAATGTCAGAAAATGCCAAGTAGGGAGCCACCAGCAATAACAAGCCTCACCTCTCCCCTCCTCCCATAGTGACCTATTTAACATGGTGCTGGAAGTTGTAACCAGTGCAATAAGGCAAGAAAAGGGAATGAAAGGCCTACATATTGTAAAGGGATAAATAAAACAGTCCCTATTTACAGATGACATGATTGTCTATGTAGGAAATCCCTAGGTATCTACAAAGAATTATCCCAAAGAGTTTTTAGAGTTGTTACCAAAAGCATGGTCTATACAATGAAAAATTGGCGAACTGGACTTCATCAAAATTAAAAACCTTTGCTCTGTGAAATACCTTATTAAACAAATGAAAAGACAAACTAGGAGTGTGAAAGTTTTCAAACCACATATCTGACAAAAAAACTAGTATCTAGAATAAAGAACTCTCAAAACAATAGTAAAAAAAAGCAAGCAATCCAATTAGAAGTTGACCAACAGACATTTCTCTCAAAAGGAGATATAGATGGCAAATAAGCATATGAAAAGGTCTTCAACATCATTAGCAAAGTAAAATCACAATGACATATCACTATCACTATACATCTATCAGAATAGCTAAAATAAAACATTGTGATAGCACCAAATGCCGATGAGGATGCTATGAAACTGGATCACTTACACATTGCTGGTGGGAATGTAAAATGCTACAGCTACCCTGGAAAAGAGTTCAACAGCATCCTAAGAAACTAAAAACGCAACCACTATATATCCAGCAGTTGCACTCCTGGGCATTTATTCCAGGGAAATGAAAACTTATGTTCACATATAAACCTGTACATGAATGTCTAGAGCAGCTTTATTCAAAGTAGCCCCAAACTGGAACTAACCCAAATGTCTTTCAACATATGAATGGTTAAACAAACTTGTGATAATCTCTGCGGTAATATCATGGAATATTACTTATCGATAAAAAGGAAAAAACTATTGATGCATGCAACGACTTGGATGAATCTCCAGAGAATTATGCGGAGTAAATAAAACCAGTCCCAAAATGTTGTATACTGTGTGCTTCCATTTACACAACATTCTTGAAATAAGTTAGAACTATGGAAAGATTAGTGGTCACCAGTGGTTAAAGAGGGGGTAGTGTGGTATAAAAGGGCAACATGAGGCATATTTGTAGCAATAGAAATGTTCTGTATCCTGACTGTATCAATATCAGCAAGCTGGTTGTGATGTTGCAAGATGTGACCATTGGCAAAAAATTGGGTTAAGGGTACATGGGTCTTTCTGCATTATTTTTTACAGCCGCATGTAGATTTATAATGATCTCAAAATGAAAAGTTTAATGAAAAACAAACAAAAAAAAACCTATGAATTTTAAAAACGATGGAATCAGCAAAGAAGAGATTATTAAAAATGACCAAGAAAACTGGAAGTAGTACCAAAAGACTCTTAGAAAGCAAATATATTATTGTCGAAATTAACAACTAAATGGATGGTGTATTGGTTTCCTCTTGATGCTATAATAAGTTATAAATTTAGTGACTTCAAACAACACAAATTTATTACCTTACAGTTCTGGAGGTCAGAATTCTCAATAGGTCTCACTGGGCTAAAATCAAAGTGTCAGCAGGGTGGCGTTCCTTCTGGAGGCTCTACAGGAGAATCCATTTCCTTGCTTTTTCCAGCTACTAGAAAACACCTGCATTCCTTGGCTCATGGCCCCATTCCTTCATCTTCAAAGCAAGCAACATCAGGCAAAAGTTCTTCTCAGGCTACCATTTTTTGGTTCTGCCTCCCTCTTCTACTTATAAAGACCCTTGTCATTACATTGGTCCTGAAAACCAATAATCCACGATCATCTTGCCATCTCAAAGTCAGCTGATTAGCACCCTATATTCCATCTGCTACCATCTGCCATAGTCACAGGTTTCGGGTATAGGTGGACATCATGGCCGTGGAGGACTAGTCAACCTACCACAGATGGGTTAAACAGCAGATTCAAATATTTACAAAATTACCGAATGGAAAGACAGAACTGAAGAAGTTACTCAGAATGCAGCCCGAGAAACAGGATACGGAAAATCTAAGAGTTTAAAAGACGTGAAGATAAAATGCAGAATTCTAGAAGAAAAATTTTTCTAATTTTTCTACCAGAAATTTACATAAGGGTAGCAAACTGGAGAAATCAATATATTTAGCATCTCGTCTTCATTTTGGTGCTTACAAGTTTGCACATTGTATCCCACCAATCTTATGTTTGCAAAGTTTCACTTTCGAGTTATGAAAATACTTTTTCAGAAAAGCAGCCTTTGATAGGAATTTAAGTTCATGACCTCATGTGTACTTCCGTGTGAATAAGTGACAACTTTTTTTTTACAGCATCCATATGCCTTATGTAAACCTTCCCCATTTAAGACGTTTATAAAGCATTTCATTGGGAAATTTATTAGTAAGAATATAAAATGTATACTGCCAAGAATAGATTTAAGGACAGGAAGAAAAATTTAGATTTTAAAAAGCATGAATCAAACTATATGCTCTAGTGTAAAAGGTTTGATTACTTTGAGCTGGTTTTCACGCGAAGCACGTGTCAACGTTTTAACAAGAATTTCAATGTGCCCGGGAGTTGCCTCTGGTCGCATCTGCTGGGTTGGCACTTTTCGGGGAACGGGCCTGGGCTCGCAGCAGCAGCTGCGGCAGAGCTGGCGCGACGAGTTCTCAAGTGTCACCTCTGGGAGAACTCCGCGGCGTGCCTGCTCGTCCCCACGCGGTGGGTTGGCCGCCCGCG